GAAATTGTAAAATGATTTTTCAAAATATTTTTCCTTTTTAAAATAATAAAAATAATAAAATATAAACTCTTCTCCTTTATCCGGGCTTGGGACCGGCTACTTCAATAATTCTTATTTCAAGTAGGCGGAGTTAAAAATTGTACACAAACAACTTGTTACGTGTACAATTTTTTTAAAAAAATTATAAAGGTATTAAAATAAAAATTCGTCATAAATATGATTAAACTAAATATCACTTACTTGACTACATGCAATTTCGGCATATTTATTTTGCAGTCGAAAATGAGCGTCTTGCCAGTTCTTCACGCACATTAATGCTTCCAAAACATCTTCTTTTAGTCGATTCCTAACATCAGAGAGAACCCTAGACCCTGCACTAAAAGCAGATTCCGAAGCTACAGTGCTAACCGGAGGTGTTAGTAGATCTTTTGCCATTGCAGAAACTATTGGCCATCGGCGTTCATACTTTCGCCAGAAGTCAACTACTTCTTCTGAATTTTTCCTTAATGTATTGTTACTAGGCCAATTATGATTAAAGTAATCAAGTAATTCAGCAAGCAACACATTTTGACTAGTACATGCAATAGAAGACAAACTACTATGACTGGAGGAATCATATGCATTTCCAATTTGACCATATCTATATGAGTTCATACCTTCAAATAAATTTAAAATTTCAGCGTCGTCATCTCCTAAATTAGTGGGAGGAGTACTTGTAGAGCCGAAGGGTACACGAGTAACTTGTGTACCCATTCGTGAAGCATATATTACATACATTTCAGATAAAGTTGCTTCCAAATTCCTATAGGTAATAGATATGTTAAAAGTTAAACCTTCACATGATTTTAATAATAAATATGTGGAGTTCCATCTATGCGCTACGTCACTAATAAAAGTTTTTGAATGCGACACCCCATGTTCGGCACAAAAGTCCTCAAATGCTTATTTTCTACTAGGTGAAATAGTAATATAAATTAGTGCATCTCTAATTCGTTGAATTTCATCCTTAACATGTTTTAAACCATCTTGTACTATTAAATTTAAAATATGACATACACATCGAATATGAAATAAAAAACCACCAAATTCAGGTTGAAGTACTTTTTGCAATTTCTAGATAACAGACTTATTTACATTAGCGTTGTTGAACGTAAAAGAACGAATTATACTCTCGCATTTATATTCTCTAATAACGTTCATAATAGCACTAAATATATTGGGAGCATTGTGCGGGTACTCAATAATTTTAAAAGCAATTATTTTTTTATGCATGATTCAAAGTGGGTCTATATAGTGTACAGTTGCAGCCATATAAACTTTTTTATTAATCCCTTCCCATAAATCCGAAGTTAAAGATATTACACTCCCATATTTTTCTAAATCGGCAATCAATGTTTTCTTTGCATTTAAAAAATATTCTATTGTATCAGAACGAAGAGTATTTCGACTTACCCTAACGTACCTCGGTTAAAGACATTCTTTGACAAATGTAACGAAATGTTGGTTGTCCGTTTGTGCTAGTGGCAACTCAAATCCGGCAATGTACTTCACCATTCCTATTCGAGTTCTTTCCTCCGAATACATCCACGTATTAAGTGGCGTAGTAGTAGTAGCACCGCTGCCTGAAGTACCAAATTGTAGTTGCGTTTGACCAGCAGGAAGAAGACCATGTTTGGCCGTACATGCTTTGTAGTGACGGTTGAGGTGGGGGGTTCCAATGCCTTTTTGATGAGCCAATCGTTGTTGACAGTATTTACATACTGCTTTGGTTTCTGAAATTCCATCGACCATACGACCAGTTTGAACCAATTTAAAATGATCCTAACATTTTGCATGCTTCTTTACCTTTCTCTTCCCTCTTACATCGGGAATTTCAATAACAGGTTCATCATCATGTTCCAAATCAATTGGAGCCTCAGCATCAACGTCATCCAAATTAATTTGATGACTACTTTCATGAACATTGTAATCTTCAATATTTTCTGGAATGGGTACTTCATTTAGACCGGCGAACTCATTCCCATATTGATTATGGGACACATTTGCTTCATTTCCGACTCCGACATCGAACAAGTTTTCAATAAATGAGCGTGATACCATTTGTGATTAATTGAAATTGAATGTTGAAGAAAAAGAAGTGAAGTAGAATTGAGAAATGAATGAAGATTATGTAGTAGTGTAGAAACTATATTGTAAAATCAAGATTATAATTTAATGATATGAATATAAAATGTAGAAGAGTATAGAAATGAGAATGAATGAATGAATAATATTGATAATAATTGAGTTGTAAAGAGTATAGTAGAGAATAAGAGATTGATAGTAAGTTTGGTAAGAAAAAATGTTGTAATTGATGGGTATTTATAGGAAGAAAATGAAATTTGAAAAAATAAAAATAAAAAAATATCAGGGACCAAAACGGTCACTGAAATAATTTTATTTTTTTATTTTATTTAATTTTTTTTTGGACGAGCCACGAGCTCGGGTTCGGCTCGTTGCTCGGGCTCGTTTTTTACGAGCCCAGCGGCTCGTGGCTCGTTTTAGGCAAGTCGAGCCCACGAGCCTGCGAACTACTCGGGCCCATTGCCACCACTAGTTGCTCAAATTAAATAATGTTATAGGTTAGGCTAGCGTTCAAGCCCCATTAACGTGAATTTATGGAGCTTTTCAAAGAACCAGCAGTTCGAACCGAATCGGATAATTGGGCTTACAATTAGTCCAATGACATTTGTTCCACTCATGTCCCACAATTCTTCATTAATCGTTGGAGAGGAGACTTGAACTTAAATCTTTTTGTTTAGCTCCAATATCAAATTAAACCCTGGTGAAGATTATAATCAGATATCTCATTTCGAACAGACATGAATACAGCATTTATAGGATAACTTCCATCTTCAAAGTTATGTGGCATTTTGATAAGATAATAAAAGTCTATAAAATGTATAGTTAAAAAGTTGCAAGCCCTATGAAATGTTTGGTTAAAATTAATTGTTTACTTTGACTTCAAATTTTAATATGATTTTAACGTACACCAAATGAAGGCTAAAATGAGCAGATGAGAGACTTAAGAATTTTTTTTATTTATGAGAGAGTTAAGAATTTTTTTTATTTAAATGCAGGGAGACGAATATTAATACAACATTATATCGAAGGATAATTAACAATCAACTAGTAAAACATAGCTGGAATTAACTTACTTGCAGTTTCTATGTTACCTGTTCAACCTACCCAAGATGTTTAGAGATGGTGAAAGTTTATTTTTATCCAGTTTGTGTTGACATAATTGGAAATATTGTCAGGTCGAGGTGGAAATTTATTGAAAAGGTGAAGTGTCATTTAGATTTTTTTTTTTTTTTTTTTTTTTTTTTTTGGGGTTTCAAGTCCAGTCCCAAAAGTTCATATGCTCAGCACAGAACTTAGAAAGAGGAGAAGGCCCGTGATGACACTGGCGAAAGAAGAGTAAACATAGTGACGAACACCCAAATCGATGAATCTCAAACCCAACTCCTGAATTCCATGGCTCATCAATGCTTCTCCTATCCTCCCCTCTCCTCAATCGAATTTTAATTCAATTTTTTTAAAAAGTTAATTTTTTTTTTTTTTTTTTTTTTTTTTTTTTTTTTTTTTTTGGGATATCCAGGTATTCCAGCTTACACTAGACTAAATCCTGGACCCCCAAGACCCTTGCCCCTAGAACCTTGGAGGAGGTAAATCGCGGATTATGCCTCAATTGGATCGCAGGTTCCCTCCATTACGTGTACACTTCTGCGCACAAAAGACCCTCCATCACAGTGATTGCTCCATACCAAATATTTGGCCGCAGGTTCCCACCAGGAATCGAACTCTTCACCCTGCCGTTGGAAGCAAGACAATGTTGATTGATCCACCAATTGAAAAGTGTCATTTAGTTACTTGGATGGTACATTGCCATTTTGCTTTTATCCTGTGCAATTGTCATGTCCTGTTCAATTCGAAAATATATGTATCAAAACAAATTTCCAACCAACAACATCAATAAAAAATTTCAAACCAACCACTTAAATTTGTAATGTATTAAAACTCACATACTTTAGGACTAACACATCAACACGCAGATCCATATTAATCAAACGGAAATTGTCCTACGTACAGAGCAAATTTCACATGGTCAGTATAGATGAAATAATTTTTCAACACAAAGATCCGCCACAAGTATCACATATCCATGCACTTTGATCACTTCACTAGGGATCGGTATAGCCTCCGTTTCCTCCTACAATGCAACATAAAAATCTAAAATGTTAGTACACGTGATAAAAAATAAATGTACATTTGTAGACAGACTTGGTTGAAAATGACTGATTCACTTTGCATCTAGACAAAGCAAAATAATGAAAAGAGTTCAAGGAGAAAATTTTTTGTAACATTTTGTAAACAACACCCAAATATACAGGGGAGGAATAGAACTAAACAAAGCAAATTCAACCATTTTTGAAAATATTAAACCATACTAAAGATTGAAATGCAGATACATTAATTTTGTTGCTGCTAAATAATGATTGAAATTTTATTTATTTTCGGAAGAGAGGAGAATGATGTGGTGATTGTTGGAAGAAAAGAAAAAGGAATAAAGAAATTGGGTTATATAGGAAGCATAATTCGCGTGCTTTAGAAATGAAAATGGCGGAATTTAACTCGAAGAACTTTTGATCAATTATGTTAGTTAATGGGTTTTCAAGACCTTTTTTTAACCATTTTAGAAGGTACATTAGAGGCCCTTAAACGTAAAACAAGAAGTTTTTTCGACTCAAAATATTATTATTTAGAGTCCGGTGCCCCAACCTTTATTATCAATGTGAACAACTGTCTGCAGAAAAAGGGCATGCAGTGATTTTGACCCAGAACTGTATCTAAATAAATTAATTAATTAATTAAGAGCACACGCCTTGAACAAAAATAAATGAAACTTTAAAGAAAAATCAGCATTAAACGGTACACTTGTTTATGGAAATCATACTTGTTTATATCTTCCAAACTGTGTACCTTAATGTGGGAATGTGAGATATCTTGTCCCATTCGTCTCCAGTCCTCTCCCCGTAAAGTGAACCTAGACATAAGGAGCGTTTAATAGTCAAATACTCCAGTGACGATGCCATACTAAGGAGGCAATGTGGTAATGCCTTTAACTTGTCGCAATAACTGATTTCTAACTCCCTGAGACATGGCATTATTAAGAGATGCTCTTTTTCATCCCCGGTTATATCCTCCCATGTTTCCCAATTGTCAAATTCGGAAAAATGCAATTTCCTCAACTTCGGGAATGCGGGTCCCGTATTCGGTAGTTCCTGGATAGTCTCCATTATCCCCAAAAATTCATTGCCCACGTATTTCACGCTATGCATGAATACTATCTGAAGCTCCTCAAGCATCGGCAGGGGCGGACCCACATGGGGTCATGTGGGATCAAATGACCCCACAGTTTTTTGGAATTTTATTTTTTTTTTGTGCTGAAAACATAATTTTCTGCCCCAAAAAGTCCAAATTCTAAATCTATATCCATATCACATGGTCCATATTCATTATTTAGTCCATAGATATATCATATAATCCACCGATTTCTTCCCAAAGTGTAAACATCGAACATGAACAGCAAACAACCGATTTTCCTTTTTGTTCATGATACGTTGTTCGAAAAAAAAATTTAACCCCATAGTTCGAACTGTCTGGGTCCGCCCCTAAGCATTGGCAGTTTTTCCAAGGGGCCAAGCAGCTCACAAATGATTCGATTTTAAGAACCCTTAAATAATTAAGGGACGTGGTGATCCATTCTGGAAATTGGGTTACATAGTTTCCATACAATCCTAAACTTCGCAGTTTTGGAGGTGGTTGAAGAGCTTCCATTATGTCGGCCCTAACCTCCCTCCGAAAAATGATGTTCAATTTTTTAATGTATTTCTTTTTTTCCAATTCTGCTTTCTTAGCGTCAACCAAGTCTTCTGACTGGGTCAAGTCTCCTAGAATAAGTTCTAGAGATCCTCGAAGTTTGTTTAGTTTTCTCAAATATCCCAACTTACTTGATCCTCTTCCTGCTGTGAAACTGCTCAAAATCCAAAGACCAGTTAATCTCTCCAATCCTTGGGAAATTGAATTCGTCTTCCAAGCGTCAAAGAGAAGGTGTCGTAGACTTCTTAGTTTATAGATCCCTTGAGGCAGTGCAGAGAGAAAGATACATTTTCGGAGATCCAAGGTCTGCAAATTAGACAAATCACACAAGGTTTCTGGGAGTTCACTTATAAAATTGGAGATCAAGTCAAGATACCTCAAGTGAATTAATTTTCCTATCTCTTGTGGAATATGAAGACAATTTCTCACAATAAGTACCCGAACACATTTTAAACCACTAAAGAGATTTAAAAGGGTACTTATTTGAGAAACATTTCTAACACAACAGGTGCGAACTTTTCCGATATCACAATTCGTAATCTCTGCTTCATCATCTAAGATTAAGCAGTAATTATCTTGTGAGAGATGAGTGACGAAGTCATGCATTATATCATGCATTTTGCAAGAGATTTTACTTTCATCATATTTATCCATCTCTAACTCTTGCAAGAAAGATTGCATTACTAGGTTCTTAAAGAACTCTAACCCCATCACTTGCATGCTATCTACATTTCCACTTGAACCAAGATAACCATGTGCTATCCAGAGCATGATAAGCTCATCCAAATGTATCAAGGTATCTTTTGGATAGATGATGCAACTAGAGAAGCAGCATTTACATTCTGGAGACAAATCATTGTAACTCAAATACAAATGGAGGAAAAGCTTATCCTCCACTACCTTCAACTGCCACAAAGGACTCTCCAAAACATTTCGCCACTGAATTACGATATCTTTCAGTCGTAGCAGGCTTCCCATAATTTTTGCAGCAAGTGGCAACCCCTTGCACTTCGTCGAAATCTCTCTACCAATACCTTCAAGTTCCTTGCGCTCCTCCTCACTTCTTCCGAAAAAGGCTATCCTGCTCAATAGTGACCAGTAGTCATCAGGGGATAGTAGGCCCACTGATTGCCGTATGTTCGTGCCTATCACTCTAACAACCTCATCGCTTCTAGTTGTCGTCAAAATTCTACTTCCGGGGGCACCCTGGAGAGAGTTTTTCAGGGGCTCCCACTTCATGTCGTCCACATTCCACATATCATCTAGGACAATAAGAAATCTTTTCTTTGAAATTGAGTTTTCCACACGTTCTAATACAATTTGCAAAATCGAGATGTTGCTTTTCAGCGGCCTCAAGAACTGATTTTGCAATCTCAATCTGGTTAAAAGGATCCGAAACACAAATCCATATTTTTAATTGAAAATGTTGGTTAACTTCAGGATCATTAAAGGCTAATTGAGCAAGAGTTGTCTTCCCAACCCTTCCAGTCCCTACTAACGAAACAATCTCGACTCCAATGCCCCCCTCAGACAACAATTTTTGTATCAGGTGTTCCTTATCAATATCGCGACCATGTACATTTGCAGAATTAACAAAAGAAGCAGATTCAAATGGCTTAAATTCCTGAAAATTGTGGCCACCACTAGGAAGAAAACCAAACTCATCTTTCTTTTGATCAATCGAATCTAGTTTCTCGATCAACCCCTTTATCTTTAGATTAGTTTCACGACGCCCAACTACATTTTTGAAGCATAAGCAAAGAGATTGAATAAACGAAAGTACCTTCTCCCGAGGATCAGAAACTTCCTCAGATCCTTCAATTTGCAGTTGAAGATTCGCGGTTTGCCATTCATCCAATGCGTTATCCATTTCGTAGGATACATCTTGCAGTTCTTTTAGCCAAATTTTGACCTTCGAATCAGTCACTCCAGTTCTCCCTGCATCCTTCAGCACCTCCTGGATCTTCTTCAACTTCCCAGTGAGACTTTCCACTTCCTTTTTGGATTCGAGGAGCAGATTTACCTCCTTCTTAATCAGAGGAGCCAATCGCTCCACTAGTGCGAAAACAGCCATCGCTGAATTTGATTGAACTAGCACAAAGCAAAAAACTTTTAGATGAAACTGACGTAGGTTAATTCCTCTAAAAGCTCATGCGCAAAACAACTCTTTTAGAATTTAGTTTCAAACAGCTAGCTGTTAGGTTTCTGCAGGCTACTGAAGATGCTGTGATGGATCTATAGATGATGACTGAAATGCAGTTGCTGCTAGGGAGCTTTTTCTCAGCTACAACTATAGATCTAATGGCTGTGATTAGAGATGGCAATTTGAACCGTCAAAACCGAAAATCGCGGTTAACCGAACCGAATGGGGCGAAAAAATCGAACCGATGGTGCAATGGGGCGGATATGGTTTTGATTTTAATGAACCGGTTCGTAATGGTGCAGGTATGATATTTACGTCGTCGAACCGAAACCGAACCGATTACCCACTTAAAAAAATAAAAAAATAAAAAAACACAATGGAATTGATTATGGGCTTTACACTACTTTTCTATCCAGACCAAAACAAAATCCCTCCCCTCCCCATCACATCTACCTGACTCATTCGACCAGCCCACTTACCATTAGCCCATAATAGAATTAGTATGACAGTATATAAATGCAAACCCTACACTCCACAAACCACAAAATCACGCACGGCTCCATCGCCTCTAGGGTCCAAGTCGTCGTCGCCTCCGAAAATTTATTACATTTGTTAGCTATTCTATTACTGCTGATCATGTAAAAATAGAGTTCGATATTTTTCTAGATGTGCCAGTATTGCCAAGGATGAATAGAAATCAACTTTGAATGCTGATCTATGCTAGTAAGACTTGTAGGGAAGAATGAATCAATTAACTTCGATGCACAATAATTAAGAATGAAGGAAAAGTTTAGTATTATTATATTTATAATATTATTTGTTAAATTTGTATTTTACAATTAAAAATTATGATAATGTTTGCATTTACGTTTGGAATATTGTTTGATAATGTTTGCATTTTCATTTGGAATATTGTGTTTTTATTTTCATTAACTTTTTTCATAAATTGTTTTATATCAATTTGACGGATGAACTTATAAAAAATAATTTATTTTCGTGGTTATTAACCGAACCGAACCGTGCCGAACCGAAATACGAATCGAACCGATTTACGTGGTTATGGTGCGGTTATGGTATGGTCAAAAAATTGGTGGTGCGGTTATGATTTTGGTCGAACCGACCCATAATCGAACTATTGTCAACCCTAGCTGTGATGGCTACTGCAGATGATGTTCCGGCTCCAGATCTGCTTAACCAACCAGGAAGATTATATGTTCATTATGTTGTTCAATAGGACAGAGATTTTAGTATGCAATAATAGCAATGATGTGAATAGAGTAGCTGATTTATGTAATGGAAAGTGCAATTGTAAATTGGCTGGAATGATGCAATTTATATTTAGCCCCGTTCGAGATTCATTAATATGAGATAGAAGTCATTTTCATTTTCTGTTTCAGTGGGGCCATAAATAATAAAGTTGTCTGTTGGAAAGAGGAATGCACTATCGAATTGTTAAAAAAAAAAAAAAAAAGTTAAACCCCAATCTTGAGGGTCCCACCGCCCCGTCCATAGAGTTTTGTGAGGGAGGTAAATCGAGTAATGTGCCCCAACAGGCCAAAGAATAAGAGTTGTCTGTACACTACGCCTACAAGGAGTCTAATTCCATATTTCAGGAATCAAACCCCCACATTGCGGCTGTCAGCAAGGTATGAGATAACCTCATTCCTGTCTTTTGCACCACTGGACTATGCCTCGGGGGGCAAAGTAAGGGAGTTTAGTAAATGCACTATCGAATTGTTGACTCGTGGATAGATATGTCGTGTTAAAAATTTTACTTTCCCATGACATCTTTGGATTAAAAAGACGAGGGTACAATTGACCAAATGATTTTCAATGGCCTATATACTTTTTAACATTAAGTCCTGTTTGGGCCTCATTATTTTCTCATTAAAATAAAAAATATAATCGTTATTCATCGCATCGATTCATTATATTTGATTTTTTATCTCTTGTGAGGGGTCCATAACGACTGTATTTTTCATTTTCATTTTTACAATAATGTTGCTCAAACGGGGGCTTAGCCCCCGTTCGGAGCACATTCCTATTTGTTGCCAATTTTACACTCCTATTTTAAAATAAATCAACCCATTATCTTTTCATTCCACTAACAATGCACAAGATATGTTATCGTACACAAACAACATTTTACACCCAATCCCTATACTAGAATGGTCAAAAGGGTGGGCTGTTGATGGCAAATGGGGGGTATTTGGGGAAGTTAAAAATTGCACTAATCAATTCAAAATGTATGTTAGCATGTGGAACCCTATGTGGGTAGAAAGCATTTTTGGGGTGAGTGAAAATGGGAACCTCACATGATATAATGGCCTTTTTTCTAAATCTCATCATACTACAGCAAAAGAATCAATAAAAAATACAAAAATGGAGTTGCTTTGTTTGACTTCAATTTCTCATTATTGTACTGTTGAAATTACATTGGGCAAAATTACCCTTTACAATTGATGCAATGAACCACAAGAACATCTCAATGGCAGCTTGGGAAATTTAGGTGAAACATTCATTGAAAAGCCCATACGAAATGTCAGAATGCAGCAAGATAAACAAGTGTGAGGTCCATCAATTCTAAAAATGAGAAGAAAAATGGGCAAATATTGGGGGCCAAACGGGAGCTTAAAACACTATTTATTTAATGTTAAAAAATGAGAATCCAACAGGGCTTAATTTGCCAAATTTTCTAGGACCCAACATCCGAAAAAATATTGGGTCAATGATTGTATATTTTAATTCTAGACAGAGCATTTTACTTGCCAGAACACATTTTGATATCTCAGTGCTAACTATGATACATAAATAAAAAAATTGGTGTCACGCCAAGGATACCATATGTAATTTTCTGCAGAATAAGGACTAATTGGTGACAAAGCTCTCTATAAACAACCAAATTTCATTAGATTTCATGTCAAGACTTCGCTGCATTACTTTGTTTTTGCAACTTGTCATGCGGATTGCTTATACAACAATTGATCCAAAAAATCCATAATCCTCTTCCTGCTTCGAAATTGTTCAATATCCGAAGACCGATTGTCCTGAGGAATTGGCTTCCCACTCGAAGCTATATAAAAGAGAAAATTTTGTAGATTTATCAGTTTTTAACTTTATATATAGGTCCCCGGACTGGATAGACTTCGAGTCAATTAATTTTCCTATCTCACGTAGAAGATCTTCCAAATTACAATGGTCATCTCAAACACATTTTAAACTACTAAAAAGATTTAAAAGGAGGCCTGCTTGAGAAACATTTCTAGCACAGAAGGTTTGAATTTTTCCGATACCACAGTTTTTAGTCTCCAATCCGCCATCCAAGATTAAGCACTACTCACATTTTGAGAGAGAAGTGATGAATTAGTGCATTATATCATGCATTATGTAAGAAATTTTACTTGCATCATTTTTGTACTCTTTAAAGAAAGATCGCGATGCTAGGTTCTCCAGGTACTGTATTCATACCACAATTTTTATTACTAGCACCATATTTTTATTTTATTTAAAATTTTCAATATTTGCTCATTGTAAAATTTTACACCTTCGAATTGACTTGTTTGACGGAAATTATTTTAAGATATGAGATGTGCAAATTAATAAAATATTGAATGTAAAAATAAAGAAAAATAAAGTTTAGGACATGGGGGCTACAGTAAGCAAAAATTGTTGAATCTTTTCATCATTCAGATGCATGTTATAAAAATTCGCCCCAGACCGATCGATCATGCTGAAAAATCGATGATCCGAGTTCTTGTTCGGGGACTGACTAGATTAATTTAATAAGAATGCACATAATTCGATCAAAAAGGGCTTTGATCGAGAAAACCACCAGTTTTAGCCTCTATTAAATTATATTCTATTACATTTCATTTTTCTCTCTCTTATTTTCAATCACACAATCTTGCATAAAATAATATTATACATAAACCAAAAAAATTTCCTTCTTTTTCAATTACTCATCTTTCAAAAAACCATTAATTCACCCATTTTCATTTCAAAATGGGGGGCAAACGAGGGCTGATATAAAACCGTTGGCCCGATTTACCGATTTTCAAAATTGCCTTTTAAAATTTTTGGAAGTCCATGAAATTGAACCTTGGACCTACATTTTCACCTTGAAAATCTGTATTCCCTTGTATCCTGTCACCTTGCCATATTTTATCTTACCTGAGTGTTGTTCAAATTTTTGTTGTAACATATCTAATCTTTACTAGTGATGAAGAAAATAAATCAGTTAGCTCATAGTTTCATATATTGACCCCATAGTTCACAGTTTCATATATTGATCCCAACTTACATGGCAGGTGATTGATATTGAAAAAGGCAGCAAAGTTAAATATGAGCTTGACAAACCTAGTGACATTATCAAAGTGAGTAATTTTTTCATCTATTTGCCATGGACAATGAAATTACTTAACCCTTAAATGTACTTCAAATGCCTGGTCCTCAGTTTTAGCAAAATGGACAGGAACTAAATTCATTTTTGTTCACCAATTGTAGAAGGCTAAATTCATTTTCAAGATATACTTTTATGTTTATACTCATTGTGCATGTCTTTTGCGACTTGCAGATTTTATCTTTTCTCGTACTTCAAAGATCTTTATTCTCATCCACATTGACATCTCATTTGGAATGAAACGTTTATTCTTTTTGTCAATGTATACATTAATATCCTTTTCTGTCTTAATATTTCATGCCTGCTGCTGTAAAATTTTCATCTTATCATGATAGTAGTTGACGAAAATTTCCGGATGTTTTTATTTATATCAACACATTTCTAACTTCAAGACATACTCAGAAAGATTGCAGACATCATCTCTTTCGATGGAGACAGAGTTACCCATATCTACAGAGAGGGAAACCAGGTTGTAGACACTCTTCCCGCAGCAGATTGAGATCACCGACGATATCAAACGTATGGATCAGCT